GAGTAGCTGGGACTATAGGCGCCCACCACCACGCCCGGCTAATTTTTTGTATTTTTTAGTAGAGACGGGGTTTCACCATGTTAGCCAGGATGGTCTCAACCTTCTGACCTCGTGATCTGCACACTTTGGCCTCCCAAAGTGCTGGGATTACAGGCATGAGCCACCACGCCCGGCCAAGAGTTTTAAAGACAACTTTTGACTGTTTTAGCTTCAAATCTTCACTAGAGATTATTAGACAATTCTTAAGATAGATGCTATAATGTATCTTTGTTATCCTTTAATTTCGGTGATCTCTTACTGCTGCTCTTCGGCAAACTGCTTCTGCATGTCTGGAGTGTACTGTGGGCCTGGAGGACGCATGCCCAGGAAGGGTGCTTGTCCTAGGTAAGGCATTCCCGCTGCTGGCATTGGTCCCATTGGTATTCCTGCCTAGAAGAAACAGACAAAGGCTTAGAAAACACAATTTCTCCCTTTAATTATCACACACAAAAATGTGACTTTCAAAAATTCTATCTTAATATTTTTATTTATAAAAAATAGAAATATATTGTATTAAAAGATGCAGAGATGCAAATAAGATGCAAATATGCAAATAAATATATTATATTAAAAGATGCTAAAAATGGAAGGCTCCCCTTAATATCTAGCCCTCCATTCCCTTCACTGTCCCAGAGGTGACTGCTGCTAATAGTCTGATTGGTGTGTGAGTATGGAAGTATATGCCCACAAATTACATTCTTGTGAGCTCACTAATCCTCTTTGAGAAGAGGCATTATATCTTATATATTTTCATATTTGCAATAATAGGTAAGAGGCTGGCATATGGTAAACATACCACAAATGAAATTAAATCTGATTTTCCAATATATATGAGAGGATAATGAATATTTTGATGTTATCAAAGGCCTAATAGTCAAACTTTTATAGAAAATGAAAGAAACATATTCAATAATAATGACATAATTCAATATTATAAAGTTTATTAAAGTGTCCAGAAATAAGAATAACATAACAGCTAATTACAAAATTTAATAATATTATGTTTTTAGAGACACGGTCTCGTTGTGTCACCCAGGCTGGAGTGCAATGATGTAATCACAGCTCACGGCAGCCTCCAACTCTTGAGCTCAAGAGATCCTCCCACCTCAGCCCCAGAGTAGCTAGGACTACAGACGTGTGCCATCGCACCTGGTTCGAAATCTAATATTAAGAGTGATGACAATGATAATAGTTAAATGGCTAATTTTTAGTGAGTGAAAACTTCTACTACTCAACCTTCTCCCTGAAAAGTTCCCCTTCTGTCCCTAACTAAAGTCTGTCCGTGAAACACTCTCATTTTGGAGACTGCTACTTTTCTATTTCCTGTAAGTGGGGAATATTCTTCCTTGCTTCTTCTAAACCTTTTCTCCTCTCTCTACCTTCAAAAACCTGAATACATTTTAATTTCTCACTAATAGACTTCATCATTTACTCTCCGATCTTGTTCACGTCATCTACTGACCCTCAACTTCCTCACTCTTCAGTTGTACACTTCAGACTTTGCTATCTTCCATTCTATCTCCCAACTGCTCTTGGTAACGTCAACAATCACCAACACGGATCACTCACCTAACACTGTGGTCTTCTAGGTCTTTAGCCTCCTCATCACAATCATGCCCAACATACAATTCCAGCTTCCCATTCCATGGTAATACCCATGATCTATCTGTACCAAAGACTGTGTCATGTCCAAAATCTGGATGTTAGACATCCTGACACTTGACCACCACTTCTGATCCTTCTAGCTCATCTAGACCAGTAATTTGCCTATCTCGTTAATATCTCCCACCTGTTAATTTAGTATTTTTTCCCTGGGCTTATTTTGTAGGTTCCACCTGTTAATTTGCCACGTTTCTCATGATTAATCATCTTCATTATATCCTCACGTCCCTTCCTGCTCAATTTAGATTCTAGGGTTCAATATTAAATGCCCTTGTCAATATCCTTAATGCCCTTAATTGTCAACTCCTTAACATGGTCTCCTGGTAAACTTCACCCCTGATTAGAATCAACTAATCAACTTCTCCATGCTTATACAAAAACCACTGAACCATGCCGGAGAGAAAAACATTGAGGATTCACATTAAATTCTATTTATTTATTTATTTAGAGACAGGGTCTCACTCTGTCACCCAAGTTGGGATGCAGTAGTGCGATCTCAGCTCACTGCAACCTCCACCTCCCAGGCTAAAGTGATTCTCCTACCTCAGCCTCCCAAGTAGCTAAGACTACAGGCATGTGCCACCACGCCGAGCTAATTTTTGTATTTTCAGTACAGATGGGGTTTCACCAGGTTGGCTAGGCTGGTCTCGAACTCCTGACCTCAAGTGATCCACCCACCTTGGCCTCCCAAAGGGCTGGAATTACAGGCATGAGCCATGATGCCTGGCCAGCTTGGAATGCTTTTGAAGGGTTTCTAGCACTCTACAACTGGAGTTACACACAATATTGCTTTATTGCTAACATTCTCTATTCTAAATCTTGGGTGGAGATAGCTGTGTATACTTATTTTAAATCACAGTATTGCTCTCTTGCTGCTAAAAATTAGGATCACAGTCCTAGAATTAAATTTTTCTTTTTTTTTACTCAGTTCACCCAAAGTATATAAAATACAAAAGAAACTACCCAAATCAGAGATGAAAAATAAGGCAAAGTGTTCAACAAAAATAACAAAGAATGAAAGAAAGAAACGTGTCATGCATATTGCCTTCTTACTTACAAACTCCTCTCTTGAAGAACATTCAAATTTACTAAACGGCATTTTGTGTTTCCCCTACACCTGGAAAGGAGGGACTGTCTAAGTTTTTATAGACTTTTGAAATCTAAATAAACTAAAAGATTAAGAGATACTAGTCTTTAATTACATACTGAATGGATGACATAACAAAAGAAAGAACTCAGAAATCTGAGATACATTTGATAAACTACTGACGGCACTTAAGATTTCAATAAGTTGAGAAGCATAGCATGACAGTTAAGACTAAAAGAGTAAAAGTGTCCATTTCAGTTAGAACCCCAACAGTTTTGTTTTGACAAGTTGATCTTAAAATTATACTGAAGGGCAAAGGACCATGAATCAGTTATAATTCTGTAAAAGAAGGAGGATGATCCATACTACCACATATCAATGCTTATCTCAGGCTAGATAATTAAGGCATAAGATATTTACTGACGCAAGGAAAGACAGATGCAGCAATGAGACAAATACATGAGCCTAGAAATTAATCCAAAGCACATAAAGAAGTGTAATATTACAGGAATAATCACAGAAATCAATAAATAAAAAACGGACTATTTATAAATGATTTGGGAACAACTGACTACAATGGAATGTAATAAAATTACATCCTTCTACCTCACGCTGATTCTAAAGAACAATTCTAGGTAGGTTAGAGACTTAATCTGAAAAGACAGGCTGGGCGCATTGGCTCACACCCTGTAATCCCAGCACTTTGGGAGGCTGAGGCAGGCAGATCACTTGAGGCCAGGAGTTCCAGACCAGCCTGGACAACATGGTAAAATCCCATCTCTACTAAAA